AGAGTTAGGATGTCTTGCTCCTGATAGAACATGAATTCTAATAGTCTGGGATGACAAGAGAGTGGTTATCCCTGAATTTGCATTTTGAAGCTTTAGCAGGCTTGTAAGTGTACTAGGGGCCCAATGCATGAAATGCGTGCAAGAGTAGGCCTTCCTGGGAGAGGAGGGTGGGGGGAAGGGGGAGAGATCAACCAAAGGACTTGTATGCATGCATATAAGCCTGACCAGTGGTCACGGACAACAGGGGGGTGAGGGCATGAGTGGGGGATGGGGGAGGAATAAGGACACAAATGTAACACCTTAATCAATAAAGAATTTTTTTTTTTTATAAAAAGAGTAGGCCTTCCTTCCCCAGGCACCGGACACCAGCTTCCCTCACAGCCCTGGCTCCGTCCACTCTCATTAGTATATTATGCTTTTCTCATTACAGTTTATTGCCTCTGTTCTTTTAGGTCCACACCTATTGCATCCTAGGATGCCAGTGACTTGGCTTTTCTTTGCAAATGCTGCTGTTAAAGGGGAATGGCAGGGATGGATCTTCTGAGACAAATAGAATTTAAACCATTCAGGTATTTCTGCTTTCTAATTTATATCTCTAATGAATTTGGAGTTATACTTTCCATTTCTATAAAAACAAACTGCAGACAGAACATTGCTATTTTGTATTACTGTGCCGAAGAAAGACTGTCTCAGTAAGTTAACTCTGCAGTTGGAGCGCCATGAAATTCAGTGAAGAAAAAACGATGGCATTGCCATACCAATAAAGTAGAAGGGCAATTATTTGCCTTTTGAAGCTAATTGGAGCTCTAGGAATAGACAGGATGCAAAACCCAAATAAAACTGTGAACTAACTGAAACAGTTAAAGTGGCTCCTATAAATGAAACAAGTGGCCATTCTATGGAAATTGCTTTATGAGGTGGCTCCGTGGCGCAATGGATAGCGCATTGGACTTCTAGAGGAAATTGCTTTATGAACAATATTGTTCAAGGTGGAAAGTATGAGTAGGGGAGTATGGTGATGAGACTTCCACTGGGCCTCAGTGGCCTTACCTTTGAATCTCCATTGGGCAGAGAGAGGACCAGAAGATGAGCCCCCAGAGAGGAATATGAGCAAATGTTAGCCTCCTACCCAAGTGATTTCTCAAGGGTGCTTTCTGCTTTCATCTCCCAAACTGCCATAAAGAGACTCAGAAGAAGACACAGCTGAGGCCCATCCTAGAAATAACGGAGGGGTGGGGCTCTGCATTCTTGAACCTGTGTTAGAGTTCTGCTGCCACACCCTCCATTCCACACACACACACACACACACACACACACACACACACCCCTGTCTGTACTTCCCATGTCTGCCTTTACACAAAGCAGGCAGGAATAGCAACAGCACCATCAGAGCCAGAGTAAAATTAAATTTAGGTTTTAATATTAGCAGCACAGAATTGGGAATGCAGGATGTGATATAGCCGTTAGTCAATCAGATCAAGTCATATAGGCACATGGAACCCAACGGGCAGTGACAGCTTACCCATAACTAAAATTTTAGCACCTAGGTCAAGTTTCTTAAAATGGGATCCTCAGGAATCCAACAAAAATATTTCTAATGTTTTAATGTGTATAACAATAATAAATCTGGAGCTTTTCTGGATCAGAATCACTGAAGGTGGAGCAGGAATCCTGACCCTAACCCTGACCCTAACTCCCCAGGAGATTTCACTGTGCATCCAAGGAGCCTGGCACTAACCCTAACCCTAGCCCTAATCCTAACTCTAACCCTAGCCCCAAACCTAACCCTAACCCTAACACTAGCTCTAGCCCTAAACCTAACCCGAACCCTAGACCTAAACCTAAACAACCCTAATTCTAACCCTAGCCCTAGTCCTAATCTTAGCCCTAATCCCAACCACTTGACCCTAGACCCAAACCTAATCCTAACCCTAGTCCTAGCCCTCACTATAATGTTAACCCTAACTCTATGCAGTCAAAGACTGTTTCATTTACAGCTGTTTTTCTAGAATAGTGTCTGGCTTATGGTAAGACACTAAATAAAATTTCTTAAATAAGTGAAAAGAAGAGATATCACAAAAATAAGTAAGGTGATATCTAACAGATTTTATTATAAAGGAATAGTTAGAAAAATGAGAAGAACTAACTACTATAAACTAGACACTGTGCCAAACACTTGCATATATCTTAATAAATCCTCACAAAAGGTATTTACAGATGGGAAGTCTAAAGCTCAGGTAATTTAAATAACTTTCTGAAAGTCACTTAGCCGATATAGAACATCATTTCAATACTTTTCATTTTATTTCAGGGTCGCCAAGTGCTTTCCCTGACTGCCAGACTACATTAGTTGCTCCTACAAATACTCCTTCAGAGTATGTGCTCCCCACTGTCCCTTCGTATAACTTGTCACTGTTATAATTCACTGTGTCGTGTGGTGTTCAATGTCTGTGTTCTCCATTGCACTGTACACATCATGATGAGTGGTAGTGAATATCTTGTTGACATTTCCATGTCCAGAGCCTTCCACCTTGTGGAATACTTAATCTCTAACATCTCTTCTTGAATAAAAAGTACGAATCAAGTTCATTTTCTCCCAAATGTTATAACAGTTGATGAGTGGGTTGTTTGTGAGACTTAATGGTGACAATTAATGATTTTGTAGATCAACTACCTGAATGGCACCCATTGGAATAAAGCCTGGCAGAACACTGCAGGGAGAGTATGCTGGTATGTAGGGGAACTATTGGTTCTTCAAAGTTTACCGTAGACAACGGGACCATATGGTATGGGTTTCCTCTGACAGTGCTCTGTCCAACATGGCATCGTCTAGCCACATGAGGCTACTTAAATCAAGCTTAATTAAAATTAAATAAAACTGAACAATCATTTTAAGGCATTCTCCAATTGCTCAATCATCATGCATGAGTAGTGGCTGACTTATTGGGCAGCACAAAGAAAAGTCCCATTAAGCAAGAGTTATATTGAACAGCACTATTTCAGAAAGTTTAAAATGCCCTTAGGAAGATTATTTTTTTAAATTGGAAGGGGCCTGTTTGACTAGTTTTGTATGTTAATAAAAATTAAACTTTGAGAAAGAATCCAATAATTTGTATCCCCAAGTGTTTCTGGTCAAGGCCTATTATGTTGAAAAGGAGCTTCGTTGTCCGCAGCTGAAACATTTAGTCAGTGGAGCTCGTGCAGAGCCGTGACTGGTGTGGAAAGAACCACTCTCCGCGGGCTGGGGCGGGCCCACGTTCCAGGGACACTGCCAGCCCCTGGCTGGACGGAGCCCGGTGTCTAATGCCATTCAATACCATCCTTCTGCATTTGATGTACAAAACAGAAGACTGACATTTGAAGAAGAGGGAAGGGTTTGGGATGCTAAATGCAACCCAGACGCCAGAGTCACAATTTCTAGAGAGAGCCTTGTTAAATGATTCCTTCTTCAGAATGTCACATATCTTTAGGTAATTTCTTCATAAAAATGTAACTTTCAATGACTTTGGCCAATACACTTTAACTTTTTTTTTTTTTTTTTTTTTGAGATTCTATTGCTGGAGATTTCACCTCCCTAATTGTCATTGCCTTCGAAAATAACACGGTTACTAGACAAGATTCAACATTTTATTTTTTAAAGTTACTTATGGGGGGCAGGATTGGAAGAATTTTCGAAGTTTGAATCTTCCGGGTTTGGGCCCTATAATTTGTTTACATTTCTCCAGTCTTACCTGACCCAGTCTATTACCAAGACTGAAAAATTCATGGTTTCCACTTGTAGACAAGACACAGTAGGAGAGCTGAGGAGGGGACCACCGCGCAGGCCCACAGTTCCTAACTCAACAGGTGGGGAACATTTTTTTTTTTTTTTTAATGTTCTCTGGGGATTAAGCCCCGCTTTCCCACCATCTCTCCCGCCTTTCAGGGCTGTCTTCTCGGTCCTCCTGAGCTTTTCTTAGGAGAGACGCCCAGGGACAATGGCGTTCTGTGGAGCGGTGGTGAAGGATGCAGGTGGGGGGACTGGGGAGTTCGTGAGCCTGGGAGGAGGTGCTGGGATGGGACCTTTGGATTCCTGAGCAGCGAGGAGCGGGACCGGGAGCCCAGAGAGAAACCCGAAAAGGACCGAAAACTCCGAAAGGAGCTCAGACGGGACAGGGCGGCTGATGGGGAAGGGTCACTCCGGGACGTCCAAGCCCTGGGCCGGGGGAGGCCAGCCAGGGCTCGGGGACCCGAGCTCCGCCGATGAGGTCAGCGGAGCCGGCGCGCCGGGAGGAGGCAGCGGAGCCCCGGACGCGGGAGCCGGGAGGAGGCGGGCGGAGGGCGGGACGGGGCTGGGAAAGGGACGGGAGCGAGGGCCCCGGAGGAGGAGGGACGAGGGGGCGTCGGCGGCGCTGGCAGCCGGAGGCGGCCCGGCCGCGATCGTTTCCTTCCGGAGGGGAGGCCGCCTCCGGCCCCGGGCGCACAGGGGGCGTCGGAGGGCGGCGCTGGGGAAGCACCGGGCCCCGCTACGCCCCTCGCTGGCGGCGGTGCCGGAGGCTCCTCCTCCGGCCCCGAGCCCGGCGGCGGGAGGCGGGAGCGAGGGAGGGCGGGGGCCGGGCGGAGGGAGGAGGAGGAGGAGGGACCAGCGCGCCAGTGACAGGGTGGCAGCCGCCGAGCGGACGCGCTGCCGCCGCCTTCGCCGCCGCCGCTCCACCTCCGCCTCCTCCCGCAGCAGCTCCGCGCGCCGCCGCCGCCGAGAAGTTTGCTCCCGCCCGGCGCTCCGAGCCCTCGACCCGGAGCCGACAGGGGGAGCGCGGCCGCGGCTGGCCCCGCGGCGGGCTGGGCGTCCGGAGCGCCCCGAGCCCGAGCCCGAGCCCGAGCCGGCGTCGGCGCCCCGGAGGGCGGCAGCGGGCAGCGGGCAGCGGCCGGGGCTGGGGGCGCCGAGGCTCCGGAGCGGCGGGTGGGCGCCGCGGACCCCGCAGCCGCAGCCGCTCCGCTAGCGCCGGCGCCGGGCCGCCGCGATGGCCGTGCGCTCCCGCCGCCCGTGGCTGAGCGTGGCGCTGGGGCTGGTGCTGGGCTTCACCGCCGCGTCCTGGCTCATCGCCCCCCGGGTGGCCGAGCTGAGCGAGAGGAGGAGGCGCGGCTCCAGCCTCTGCTCCTACTACGGCCGCTCGGCCGCCGGCCAGCCGCTCCCCCAGCCCCAGCCCCGGCCGCGGCCGGAGCAGCCACCGCCCCCCGCGCGCCCGGAGCGCCAGGAGCCGCCGCCGCCCGAACCCGCGGCGGGGGAGGCGGGTGATCGGAGCAGCCCCCGGCAGCAGCCGCCTCCGCTGCAGCCCCGGCGGCGAGGGCGCGAGCCCGAAGGGGCGACGACGGGGCTCCCCGGCGGCGGCGCCCCCGCGGCGGAGGGGGAGCCCGCGGAGGAGGAGGACGGGGGCGCGGCGGGGCGAAGGCGGGGCGGCCGGCCGCGGAGCGGCCACCACGGCAGCGGGGACGGGGGCGCCCGCGCCGCCCCGCGCGCCGGGCCCCGCGGCTTCCTGTTCGTGGGGGTGATGACGGCGCAGAAGTACCTGGGCAGCCGCGCGCTGGCGGCGCAGCGGACCTGGGCGCGCTCCGTGCCCGGCCGCGTGGAGTTCTTCTCCAGCCCGCGGCCCCCCGGCGCCGCCGGCCTGCCCCCGCCGCCGCCCCTGCCCGTCGTCGAGCTGCCGGGGGTGGACGACTCCTACCCGCCCCAGAAGAAGTCCTTCATGATGATCAAGTACATGCACGACCACTACCTGGACCAGTACGAGTGGTTCATGCGCGCCGACGACGACGTCTACATCAAAGGTGACCTCCCAGCGCCGCCGGCCGCCCCGCCTGCCCCCCTCCTGCCTCTGCACCTACCCCGGCCCCTGCCCAGCGCCTCTCTGCTCGGCCAGCACGTGCCCGGGGCCTCTGCAGCCCCCAGTCCCCCGTCCCCACCCCATCCCCGGTCCGCTTTTCTTCCCCTCCTGCGGTCTGGGCTGTCTGTCCTCACACCCACCCGGCTCCATCCGCCTCCCTCACTCCTGGTCCTTCTCCCCCCCCCCCCCCCTGCTCAGCCCCCTCTTCCCGGAGCGGGAGAGGTGAGGGCCGGGACCTTAGGGTTCACCCAGAGGCTACTCCCACCCCGGGAGCCCGGGGAGGTGGCGGGCTCCCAAACCAGCCCGGAGGGGCGTGTCCCCGGCGGAGACAGGGGAGGCTGCGCCAGACTGGGGATCGCTGTTCTTGCTTTTGTTCCCCCACCTTTTCCTTGTAACTGGATGTAGCGCAATTTCGGGACTGGGGAGATGGAGGAGTCCTTTTCCCCTGCCTTGGACCCCCCTCCCCCTCCCCCGTGCGTTTCCTTCCCGCTCACAAGACCCGCGGGTACCAGCAGTCCGTGGGCATCTCCAGCGCCCCGCGCGCCCGCCGGCTGCTACCGGGCAGCGCCCAGCGGTCCCCGCTCCGCCTCAGTCAAACCCCGGGCGGCCAGTGTGTGGTCAGATTGGGTGGGGGGAGGGAGGGCATAGCATCCGAGAACGTTCCAGACCCTAGAGCTCCCCGCTGAGCGAGCACACACCAGTGCGGATCCTCCAGACCAGCTTGGCCGCCGCGATAAGCAGAGGCTGGAAGCGCCCCAGCCACGCGCAGCCACAGCGGAGAGAACTTTGCCCGCGTGTGGGGGGCTCTGGCCCGAGAGTTCTGAGCTCAGCAGAGAGGAGGTGCTGAGGGCTGGGGCAAGCCTCTCCAGGCCAGCCTACTGCGAGGATGGACAGGGATGGAGGGGAGTAGAAGAGGGTGTGGAACGGAGGTGGCCCTGTGCGTCCCGCGTTTCCTAGCTTCCTGGCCCAAGCGGGGCAGCCCTTCCCCGGTTTGAGCCTCTTTCCCTGTAGCCTCCTTGCTCCCCCAGGTCCAGGAAGCGGTACCTTCCTTCCCCAGGGCTCCGGGAAGGACAAGCATTTCTCTGACGCTTTGAAAGATTGCCCTTCAGAACATTGAAATGGCCTCAGTCTCCCCATTTCTACTAAGAATGAAATGCATTTTGTGTTAAGAACCCACTAACAGCTGAAACTCCTTGAGGCGCAGGGGGCGTGGCATGGGACCAAGATAAAGACCGCAAATGCTGTGCTCATCCCAAATGTTAGAGAAGGTGGGATTGGGGATATAAGAAGGCGGCTACTTATTCCAGTTTTACCGTTTTGTAGACTAACAGATGCTTTTGAAGTGTGTTAGTTAATTTTTACATGGTTTTTCCTAATGACTCAACAAGCTGTAAGAAACCCAATTTTATTCTTTAATTTAAATATGTATTTATTTTTCTAAAAGGGTACTTTCCAAAGTTCCAAAGTGACATTTCAAGAAAAGTTAAGGACAAAACACTAAACTGAATCAATTGTCAGAAAAAAAATTATTGGATATTAACACTGTCAGTCAATGCTAAATATCAATATTTCTGGGAATTTTATTACTTCCAATATAGTAATAATAATCCTTAATTATTTCACCTTTAAAATTCTGATGATTGTTTCTCCCTGGCCAGATAGCTCAGATGGTTAGAGCGTCCTCCCCATACGTTAGGTTATGGGTTTGATTCCCAGTCGGGGTACATAAAAAACACAACCAATGAATGCATAAATAACTGGAACAACAATCCAATGTTTTTCTCTTTTTTCTAAAAAAAAATCAATAAATAAAAATCTGATGATGGTTAGACTTATTAAAGTTTTTCAGTGACTTTGATTAGAAGATTGGTTCTTTAAATTAGTTCTGAAAAAAATAATAGAATATTCAGAGAGTTTTTTATTCTTTTCATTTCTTGAAGACTTATGGGGAGTTTACACACCATATTGGAAGTTCTGTCCCTTGCTTTGTCCATGTAGATGATTAGGAAAAGAATGAAATTAGGAAAAGAATGACTGCTGCCTTTCTCTTTGTAGGTGACAAGTTAGAAGAGTTTCTTAGATCGCTGAATAGCAGCAAGCCCCTGTACCTGGGCCAGACTGGCCTGGGGAATATCGAAGAACTCGGAAAGCTGGGCCTGGAGCCTGGGGAGAATTTCTGTATGGGAGGCCCTGGCATGATCTTCAGCCGAGAGGTGCTCCGGAGGATGGTGCCACACATTGGTGAGTGCCTCAGAGAAATGTACACGACTCACGAAGATGTGGAAGTAGGAAGATGTGTTCGACGGTTTGGTGGGACTCAGTGTGTCTGGTCTTATGAGGTAAGACTTGAGCTGTTTTGCAAATGTTCACATATGGCAGGTACATGCCACTGTACAGCCAAGGCAGTGGTTCTGTTTGTTCTGTCTGTATCTTTGCATTTGCTTGAAAATGATAGCAGCAGCTGGTGATGGAAACAGGGAGATTGTGGGTCATACCTTTCTTATTAGAGCGAGGCCTATCTGAGGTTTGCTCATTGGCGTGACACCTTATCCTTAACTTTAATCAGCGGCCTAGAAATATGGTCTGAAGATGCTTTCCCCTTCTATTTGCTTTATTGGTGTTTATATACATGCATATCCATTTCCTGTCTCTAACAAGAGGACTGATTCTCTTGGGCTGTAGCTTTTAGCACCTGGTACTTTGTTGTTGTTGTTTGGTGAGGTATGTAATTTCATCTGTGTGGTTTTTTTCAAACAGTTAAAATCTGAAGTTTCTATGAAGATTTTCATGCAGAAATTTAACATGCATTTCTTTCAAAGTTTAGGAAAAGTTAATTCATTATATATCAGTTATGATAGATTTATTCACAAACTTTTATTTATTTTTTAATATAAATTCTTTATTGTTCCAAGTATTATATATGTCTCCTTTTTCCCCGTTGACTTCTCCCTGGCTGCTTCCACCCTCCAGCACATGCCCTCGCCTCCCTCTTGTCTGTCCATTGGTTATGCTTATCTACATGAATACACGTCCTTTGGTTGATCACATTCCCCCCCTCCTTCCCCTGATCCCCCCCACCCCCCTGCACATACCCTCCTCTGAGGTTTGATGGTCTGTTACATGCTTCTGTGTCTCTGGATTTACTTTTGTTCATTAGTCTATGTTATTCAGTATATTCCACAAGTGAGTGAGACCATATGATATTTCTCTTTCTCCAACTGGCTTATTTTGCTTATCATAATGTTTTCCAGGTCCATCCATGCTGTTGCAAATGATAAGAGTTCCATTGAGTAGATGTACCACCATTTTTAACCCACTCATCTGCTGATGGGCACTTAGGCTGTTTCCAAATCTTAGCTATTGTAAATTGTGTTGCTATGAACATAGGGGTGCATATATCCTTTCTGATTGGTGTTTCTGGTTTCTTGGGATATATTCCTAGAAGTGGGATTACTGGGTCAAATGGGAGTTTCATTTTTAATTTTTTGAGAAAACCCCATACTGTTCTCCACAGTGGCTGCACCAGTCTGCATTCCTACCAGCAGTGTATGAAGGTTCCTTTTTCTCTGCATCCTCTCCAGCACTTGTCATTTGTTGATTTGTTAATAATAGCCATTCTGACAGGTGTGAGATGGTACCTCATTGTTGTTTTGATTTGCATCTCTCAGATAATTAGAAGCGTTGAGCATATTTTCATATGCCTCGTGGCCTTCTGTATGTCCACTTTCGAAAAGTGTCTATTTAGGTCCTTTGCCCACTTTTTGCTTGGATTGTTTATCTTTCTTTTGTTAAATTGTCTGAGTTCCCTATAAACTTTGGAGATTAACCCCTTATCTGATGAAACATTAGCAAATATGTTCTCCCATGCTCTCTTGTTTTTTTGATGGTTTCTTTTGCTGTGCACAAAATTTTAAAGTAAATGAATAATCTAGAAAAACAGAAGTAGTTCTGTTTTTAGAAGATGTTAAGTAACTGCTTAACATATTGACTGGCACCCTAGAGGTTGTTTATATCTGTCCTTTTGTTTTCTGAGCAGCAACTATTATTAAAATAATCTGAGCTGTGAACTGTTGTTTACATTGAAATGATTATTTTATAAAATACTCTGAGGTTGTTTTTTTTCTTCAGAAATTGGTTTTTAAGTTAAATACAATTTTTACAAAAGATAATTTTCCTGAAAGGTAATCCTAGTAAAAATCTATTTAATACTTAGTATATTGAGGTTTTCATTATAGTTTGGCTTTCAAGTAGTTGATGTATAACTTATTTTAACTACCCAGTGCTTACCTTTGTAAATGATAACATAACTCATTTACTTTTCAAATTTTCATGTCTCTTAGTATAGGAAAAACATTTTATGAAAATATATGTATTATCTCTGAAGTCATTATACCTCAAGATTGCACACTCATTCATTTTTCTTTTAGAAGTTGAATCCTACTTTTGTAAAATTTGCTCCCCCCCCCCCCCCGTTTTGTGGTATTTATACTTTGGAGAAATAGTTCTTATATTTATTACAGAAAGTAAAAATTATTTGATAAGTAGTGATTTGGAATATGTACTAAGCAAACTTAAGATTATTGCATACTTCATTTGTTTTGGTAAGAAAAACAGTATTTTTCTTTTATAAAACTGTCTTACAACTAACTTTTAGAATAAAATTTATGCAAGCACATTATAGTTTAAAAATAAGTAAAATATAAACTCAATGAAAAAACTGTCTTTTGCCCCGGAATATAAAACTAACTAAAAGGCAAAGTAAAAAAATGCTCATCATAGAAAACACATAGTGGATTTTGTTGACTTGTGGATATTATTTTGCAGACTCACTGTGAATGGATCAGTAAAAGAAATCGTTCGTATTTAAAAATGAAGATGGAAAATTATTCTTTTATTTGACACTTGTTGTCTTCACATCATACATAAAGTTTTAACACACCATTTTGCAGTGATTTGTTTTATAAAATACCCTGAGGTTTTGTTTGTGTCTCTCTGTTCAAGTTTTCATTGATTCTGTTATGAAGGTACAACCCTTACATAGCATCTACCCATTCATGTTCCAAGAGAATAAAATACGCTCAAGTGACCAACAAGCTCAAGAATTTATTAATGATTTATTTATAACATGGGCATTTGTTTTGGTTAAAGTGAAGGGAGTTATAGATGAGTGTCCTCTCTGTTAGGATAGTGGAAACTGAGATCTTTTCGTTAACTGATGTAAAGAGACAAACAAAAGGGATTTCAGGTCTTACAGAATGTAACTTGATGATTGCCATATTTTTATTAACTTCATGCAAGACATTTTGAATTTTAGTCTGATACTTGTCAATCACTGAGTTCAGAATCTGTATGAAAAAAGTCACTTTTACATTTTTTCCTAGCAACAGAAAATATTATTTTCTGAAGAAATACTGTTTCAGAATGTTGACTTTATGTTTTGCTAAGCAATTATATAGAATCTATTTTGTTTTGGGATTTCACTATTTAAAGAAGCAAGTTAAACAATATTTATTTTAGAGGAGGCATTGATTTAATCTTTGCACAGAGTCTCAATGTATTCATTCAAAGGATGATGGAAAACCTCATTACCAAGGAATATTATATTTATGAAACACCTGAGTAGGTCAGTTGGGGCACAGCCACATTAGGGCTTTCCTGTTGGGATTTCAGATTAGTTGAAATGATGCCCATCTTTTCTAGCGTTCACATTATGCGGAAAAACTGATCTGTTCCACTCTGGGTTGGCATCCTGAGTAAAGGTGAGATTTCACATCTGGTAATGGAATACGTTATGAAATTGATCAGTAATTTTGTTTCTGTATTTCTTTTAAAAGAACCATCTGTGACAGAACTTTCTTAAAATTTTGAATTTCTTTTATCTATGTCTTCCATGGATTTCAGGATTTTGTGACTTTTCTTCTGAATAAAAAGTTCTTGCAGTGGTAACAGAACTGTTAGGGACACATGTTCAAACTTATTGAATTTGAATAGATGGAACATTCATGATGGAATTATATCTTTTAAAAGATGATGAACAAGCTTTCAGATCTGACAGGAAAGAATTGGACAAAAATATTAAACTACATATCATGTAGCTTTTCTTTTTTTTATTAAATATATTTTATTGATTTTTTACAGAGAGGAAGGGAGAGGAATAGAGAGCTAGAAACATCGATGAGAGAGAAACATCAATCAGCTGCCTCCTGTATACCCCCACTGTGGATGTGCCCACAACCAAGGTACATGCCCCTGACCGGAATTGAACCTGGGACCTTTCAGTCCACAGGCCAACTCTACCCACTGAGTTAAACCGGTTTTGGCTCATGTAGCTTTTCTTGAATATAAATTACTTTTTTTTTTTATTGCCGAAACCGGTTTGGTTCATCATTGATGTTTCTAGCTTTCTATCCCTCTCTCTTCCTCTCTGTAAAAATCAAAATATTTTAATTTTATTTATTTTTATTTTTTTAAGATCATACCACTTCATTTATTAAAAATCAAAAAAAATTTTTTTTTAAATTATATATTTTTTTATAAAGATAGGAATCTTCTAGTATTCTTCTTTACTGTTTGTTCAGTTGAAGTCTGCTTTATCTGTGTCGTGTATACAATTAAGCGAGTGAGAGAGAGAGAAACGCAGAGAAGAAAATATAAACTTGAATTTGGATTGGCGTCATCACTCTACTACTTACTAGTTTCATTGTCTTTTGTAAGTTACTTCTCTGAGCCTTGGTTTAATTGAACTAAAAGTGGAAATTATAACAGTGTTTACCTCATTGATTTTGGAGATTACGTGAAATAGTAAAATAAATGATCTCATGTGAAACCCTTAATTTAGTGTCTGGCACATAGTAAATTGTCAGATGTTAGCTATTATTATTATAATGCTGAATAGATCATGTACTTACTATATTATATATATCAGGGATTAATTGTTTCCTCTGTATCAAAATAGTAAAAAAGTTAGACAATACTTTTTTTTTTTTAGTTAAATATTCAAGTGTAAGGTTTTTTGGCAAAAACAAGAGAGAGAGAGAGAGGGAGAGAGAGAGAGAGAGAAACCAATATGTTTCAATATTTTATTTTATTTTTATTTTTTAAAACATATTTTTATTGATTTCAGAGAGGAAGGGAAAGGAAGAGATAGAAACATCAATAAGAGGGAATCATTGATCAGCTGCCTTCCGCACTCCCCCTGCTACACAAATGGAGCCCACAACCTGGGCATGTGCCCTTGACCTGAATTGAACCTGGGACCCTCGAGTCTGAAGGCTGACGGTCTATCCACTGAGCCAAACAGCCAGGGCTGTTTCAGTATTTTAGAAGTATGAGGAATCCA